ACATTGGTTAATTTTGAAAATAAAAATAAATGAGCAAGGTTACTCTCTCCCTTGTTTGTTTTAAAATTTTGCTTCAGTCATGTTACTGTGTCAGCTCTGCATTCCTAGCTATAATACACTCTCAATACAATTTTCTTGATGGGGGAAGAGGGGTGAGGGAGGCGTTTTACACATTTTCCAGTTTTCTATCTCGAGTAGGACATAGAGGGGTGGATGAGACGTCTGCCATCCTGTGAATTTGTCTTTATTTGCTATCAGTGAAAAAATAGATAGTGTAAAGCTAATTTTTCCTGTGCAAAGTTTTTTTCTTCTTTCTTGTTTATCTTGCTTTAAGCACTCATCTCTACTGTAAAGAGATTTCCCTTCCACTTATTTCTGTTCAATTTCTTTTTTCTTCTTGCTTCTTGTTTCTTGTTTTTACACATTCCAAATAATTCTATTAACATTGAGTTCCCAGTTTCTCAGTTGGGAGATTTAAGGAATTTTACCCATATCTGCACTGCTTCTGCAAAATGGGGAGTTATGAACCCTGAAAGCTCTCTTCAGAGGTATCTACCATGGCAGTCCAGTCCTCACATCTGTATCATAGTGCATGGCTTGTATTCCCACGAGGGGTTAAACTCCTCTTTCAGTGCTCCAAGCTGAAGATGGAGTTTTGTTTTAATTTATGCTTCCAGCTTCCCTTGTAGGATACAAGATGGATAACTAAACTCAGCCGTAATTCTGGGACTACATAGTTCTGCTTGTTTTTTGCTCAATTAATTGTTACTTTTAAACATCTTTGGTTTTCATGAAGCAAGTTTTTGCAAAAATATTTTTGCAAAATTTTGCTTAATTTTCACATTTTTTGCTTCATTCATTTTTGCAAAAAAATGTGAAATTTCGTTTGTGAAATATAAACAATTTGTTTGCTGGAGACCCTAGTGATAAACAAAAGCACGGAAGTTTAAAAGTTTTTAATTGACACATGCCAATCATTCAGACAATTTTTCATGATGTTGAAAATGGATCAACAGCAGATTAAGTGTAAACTGAAAATGTGCGATGTGTTTTTGCAAAATTTTCTAAAAACTGGAATAGGCTTTATAAAATATTAAATGTTCTTTTAAGATTTGTTTGTAGATCAATAAACATTTTTCAAATACTTCATGTAGTACAATTGAGGGAATTGAGGCAAAAAACTGTAAAAACTGTATTTTCATGAAAATAGTCATTCTCATATGTGTATTTTAAATGTGTTAATAGCATACTTATCAATATGGAATGTTTGTATAATGATGGGGGGCAACTGGTGAGTTGTGCCGATAACTGAGTAAAACCTGATACTCCAGGGTTCCAGGGGGGGGGGGGGATTAACCTCAGGATTCTAGAAGGGGGAGGGGTACTTAACCCCCAATAAATTCTCAAGAGGTTCATTACAAGGCCAGTTTTTTTTTTTCAAAATGAAAAACAAACTTTTACAGTTTTTTACTTTTAAACAGAACACAATTCTTTCTTCAGTTTTTTTTAGAAATGGAAAACAATTTTTTTCCCTTTTTCGTTTTAAAACAAAAAAGAAATTGTTTCTGATTTTTGTTAAGGTTTAGAAAAGGATTTGTTTTAGTTTTCCTTTTTTGATTGAAAATCAATTTTTTAAGTTTTACTTTTTAGAAACCTAAAAACCAATTTTTTTATTTTCTGTTTTAGTTTGAAAATCATTATTGGTTTATCAAAATGTTTTTCTCAATTGTTTTACAATTTTAAAATTTCTTAATTGATCGCTTAAAAAAAAGTGGTTTTATAAAAATAAAATTGTTTAACTTTGAGGGCAAAACGATTCCGAAAACGGACACCAAATGGGAAAACAAACATATTAGATCAAAAAAAATTCAAAGCAATCTTCACCTATCCATACACATAATCAGGTGGCAAAAAATCTTTGAACATGAAGAGACATATAATTTTTTTTTTAAACTGCATATTTTCATTAAAAAAATTGCTTATATTGCAGCAGAACTTTATAGCCGCCTAATAAATGACAACAAATCTTAATCCATAAATACTATTATCTCTTATATCCAACAAAAGAGTTACTTCTTTTCAACACTTATTTTTGGCAAAAAAATATTTTTTATTAAAAACAAAATGCCTATTACCCACACTACTACTTGAGTATTTAACGGTTTCTTGGTTTACATCAATCTTTACTCGTAATAGCTATCTCTTCAGGTCCTCAAACATAGGTTTAATAAACGAGATTTATTAGTTTACATTTATTGGCATAAATATATCTGTTATAATGGTTTCCTATCTTATCCACATTCCATAGGGCTAAAGAGTCCCTCAATAGTTCATCTGAGCCTCTGTTCCCTGCTGGGCTAGATCTCAGCTAATCCTTCTATAGATCATATAACTGGTGATCTTCTGATCAATCCTAGCTATCTATCAATATGCTATACACCTATGATCCTCTCCTGTGATACTTGTAACTGGTGATTTAGGCTCAGCTACATTTTGCCTAGTCACAATTTGCCTAGTCACATTTTGCCTAGTCACATTTTGCCTAGTTCACTTTTGCCTAGGTAACATTTTGCCTAGGTAACAGTTTGCCTAGTTCAAGTTTGCCTAGTCACATTTTGCCTAGGGTAACATTTTGCCTAGGTAACGCAAGAGCATGTTTTTTGCCTAGTCAATAATCTTTTATAAAAAACAAATTTTGTCAAGAATTAAACATGTAGCTGAGCCGTGATTTATGATCATCCTAGTTCTCTGTCAATCTGCTGTAGATCTATAATCCTATACTTGTAGTTGTCCTGTGGTTCATATAGCTGGGGATCTTTGTGATCCATCCTAGCTCTCTATCAATCTGATCTGGATCTGCAGTCTCCACAGTATCCACAGTATCCACAGTATCTGCAACATACACAGTATCTACAGTATCTGCAGTATCCTCAATATCTGCAATATTCACCTTATCTGCAGTTTCCTCAATCTCTGTTGATCTACAGTCTGCTTAATATCTCTGTGGTCTGTAGTCTGCTCTGCATCTGTGTTGATCTACAGACTGCTCTCTATCTCAGTGATCTGTAGTCTGCTCTGCATCTCTGTTGATCTACAGTCTGCTCTATATCTCCATGATCTGTAGTCAGCTCTGCATCTCTGTTTTTCTACAGTCTGCTCTACATCTCTGTGATCTGTAATCTGCTCTGCATCTCTGTTGATCTACAGACTGCTCTATATCTCCATGATCTGTAGTCTGCTCTGCATCTCTGTTGATCTACAATCTGCTCTATATCTCCATGATCTGTAGTCTAATCTGCATCTCTGTTGATCAACAGTCTGCTCTATATCTCTGTGATCTGTAGTCTGCTCTGCATCTCTGTTGATCTACAGTCTGCTCTATATCTCCATGATCTGTATCCACAACATGCTCTAATATCCAAAGTATCCAAAGTATCCTTTACCTTTTATCAGTTATCTGTAAGTGTTCTGTTAGCACTCAATGGAGTGTAAGTCCCCAGACCTTGACAGAATAAACAGAGCTTGCTCAATGTCTATTCAGTTCTAAGGTTCTGGGTTCACTGCTGAATCTTAATGAATCAGAATTAGGCTTTGACTCAGTGAGTAAAAGAGGATGATAGATCTCGTCCTCATAGATCCTCGAGATGTCCTCCTCTCCTAGAGTCATTGATCTATTCTGGTATTCTAGCTGCTCCAATCCAGGAACTAGACCAGGCTCCTGATGTATTAGCTAGACAGTCTAGTTCTATTCTATCCGTATATTCTGGTCTCCCTGTCTCTCCAATGTTTCTGTCCCTAGAAACATCTGGAGAGTTGGCTCGGACCTGTAGTTAAACTAGCTGAACTGTGGTTGAACTTCATTGCCCTGGATAAGTGAGTTGCTATATAGATCCAGTTTCCCTGTCAATAGGACCAGATTGGGTGTCTAGAGTTTTTTCTGGCACATCCTTGTCCAGGGTTGGACTAGCTGGAACTGTTACAATCTGTGTGTAGCAATCCATGCTTTAAATATTACACTACACTCAATAACAACAAAAGTCATGGAGTCTAAAAACTTTATTAGCTCAACTTTAAAAACTTTAAACTAATTGAATTTTTAACATTCTTAATATATTCACCTGCTGATGACGTGGAATCCGTGAGCTGATAGTTGCAGCGTCCTGATATCTGGTTTCGGTTGAAATCGCCTTCCACCAAACTGCTCCCCCCAAGAAGGAATGTAGGAGTCAAGGTGGAGCAGGATCTTCTATGTCTAGCCTGTCTGTGAGGGTTTCATCTGAAAGATTAACTGAAGATAAGTTTGAATTTTATGATTGGTGGTGGTCAAATCTAGGGTTCGGGGGAAAAGAGAGAGAGAGGGGTTGACAAAATCGTTACTTTTGAACAGTTTGTATAATTGTATAATAACTTTATATGATTGGATCAAGATTAGAAAGTAAATCCAGCTTCTTACATCATATATACTGAGAAAAAACGAAAAGTAGAAAAAAAAACTATAAAAATAAGAAACACTACAAACAACACAACAAAATATAATCTAATAATTTTACAATTTTATGGTTAACATGTACCAAGATTGTACTGCCACCACAGTTCTCTACTTAGCAGCTTTTCTTCTATTGCACACTTTCAAGAAACATTACTTATAGAAAAGTAATTGGCTTAAATTTACACCATAGGGTGTTGAAGGGCAGCATGTTGAGCAAGGCCAGATTTTGTAGTTTTCATATTAACAAAATCCAACCTATGGTTCCTCCATTTTTTTCATATTTACTGCTAATCCTACATACCAACTAGAATCTGTATGGTCAGAATGACCACAGTAAAATAGATAAACAATGTTGTTTTTAGAACAGCAGATATTTTGACGAATTGTCCAGTTTCTTCCATCCCAGGGGGACACCAACATTTTATCTCTTTACATTTAAGATTGATTATAGGGAGTTTTATTTTCTTCATAATGTACAGTTTTATGAATTTCACTGTATTTTGTTTTTCAGGTTATTTCAAACATAATCATCTCAGCTGGTAAGTTTAGTAAATCTAATCTTTCAAATTTCCATTTTTGCCCTAGCACTCTTATTTTTAACACTTTCACCAGAGAAAAGTTCAAAAGTCTAAAATAGCCCATAACTTTTGTGTGACTAAAGTTACAGATCTAAAAATTATAATTTTTAAAAGTCCTTAATAACTGGATGTAGAAACATGTTTCATATCTTGATATTGTTAAAAAAAACATAAAATTTATTCTTATTTTTGTGGCATTTTTTCAACCCTCTCTGGCATTTAAATTATTAAATTTATGTGTAAGTTTGGGACAGTGTTTGTTTAATTTTTATAATTGAATACTTTCTGATTTTTAGAAGTGTTTATATATTCAAAGATTTTTCTGTAGTTATGCATTTTATTAATATTCTTCACAGTTAGCAATCTAATTCTTTTTTCAATGACCTGGCCTGGAAAAATTGGGCTATGAACGTGCATTTCAACCATATTAATATTCTCTTTTTCTACTAAGGCTTAGGATCAATTTGTTCCCCCCCCCCTCTAATGTTTGATGTTCAAATATGACAAATGATACATCATTTGAAAGCTCTTATACTCTACTTAAAGAATCTGCAAAAGAAATTTAAAATTTGCAAAATTTGAAAAAAGTTTGCAAAAAACATGTTCACAAATTTTTAAAGAAACCCTTGACCATGTATTTTAGGTATGCAAAATTTTCTAAAAAATCTAAATTTTAAAAAACCTGATGTAGAATTAAGAAAAATTATAAATGTGCAAATTTCTTTTGATGGGTTGTATGCAAATAATTTGCAAACATTTAATTACTTTCTAACCTTGTGCAATCTGTTTCCTCATTAAATTATCAAGTTATCAAAACCTGACAAATGAAAGTGGGTCAAGACATAGACTTATTTTGTACAGGAAAAAGTTATCATTCAGGCAGTGTGTCTAAGGAATAAGGCAATTAGCATAAAAGCCCTATTTTTTAGACCTAAAGGAGGGCTATGGTGATGAAGGAAAAGTCAGGAAATTTCACAGCCTTGGACCAATACTTTTATAAAAATAACAACAAGGGGGGGTTAAATTGAACCCCCCCCCCCTTCCAGCAGGAATAGGATTAATCATTTGGGTGCTAGAGAGGGGTTGAAAAATTGTAAAAAAGGGTCATAAAAATGTGAAAGTTTTATTTTGTATTAAACAAATATCAAAATGGGACACATTTATCTACATCCATTTTTAAAATGGACCTGACTTTTTGCCTCCATGTACCCTAACCTATTAATGGAAGTCAACAAATTTCACAATGTTAGTGTCAATAATGAGAGTGCTAGGGCAAATGCCTTTTTTTTAGTTCAAAATGCGCACCCTTCAGAATGTGGGTGGTGAGGATAGTATAGGTCAGAGAATGTTATAAATTCCACTCTCCGACCTTTACTATCCCCACCACCCACCTTCTTAAGGGTGCACATTTTGTAGTCGAAAAAAAGGCATTTTATACATACATTGGGCAAAAGTCCCCCCCCCCTCCCTCCAGGCTGTTTAGGGTAAAGGGACTGTAATCATGAGGTTCTCTAACCCTCCATTTATGAAGCCACATCACTGCTAATTAACAGTTTTTTAAAAAAAATTTTCCAGAACTGACTTTTAGTTGTAGTTTTTTCAGTAACAACAGTTTTTAAGAAGCTCGCCTATTTGTTAGCCAGCATTAATGATAACCCTTTGTTAACAATTGTTAACGAATTTGTTAACAAAGCCCCTTCGTTAATGATTGTCAACATATATATCAAAGAAAAAAATTTCAAATCTATTGTTTTCAAAAACGATCATTATTCGTTTTTTAAAAGTTCAAAATGAGTGGGTCATTTTTAAAAACGATTGTTTTTGAAAATGATCGGAAACAAAACAAAAAACGATCCTTTAATGATTGTTTTTAAAACAATTAACCCAAGTAACATTGACAGTCGATCCTTTAAAGATTACATAAAAAAAGAATTCAATAAATGATATTTAAAGTAAAAATAATTTAGGTATTTTTGGACAAAATGATGTTGAACTCTTACTTTCTCTCACTACAGACTATCCTGATGCAACATTTCTAGGTGAGTAATTGACTTTTTATGACTTAATGACCTCTAATTTACATCCTGGATAAACTATTTACTCTTAATAAGTTCAAGTTGGTTTGTTTTTGGGGTACTTCAAAAAGTTACAATTATAAGAAAATAACTCTTAAACTTGATTTTATTTTTGATTTTATTTACAAGTGAACTGAAATTTCATTGAAGTTTCTTCTTGCAGATTTAAAGCTTGCAGTCTAGAATTGTGACAGTGCTACTCATGGTTTTTCCCGCAGTATAAATAAGAAGATAAAAATGGTTTTAAATCTTAAAAAGGCTGGGGGTCTGAATCTATGTATATCCTTGAAATGAAACATAAAAACAATTTTAAGTGGAACCAACCATATTTGAGCAGCATCTCAAATTTAAGCCGTGTTCTTGTTCAAGCTTTGTTAGATCAGTTTGTATATATATATGCTCTGCCATGCCGACACTCATCAACATGGTCTTTGACCTGCAGTTTGTTGACCAGAGACGAGATTTTAAAAGCTTAAACCCGAGTAAGACCCAAACTTGGGCTTATATAGAACCCATGTCATGGGATTGGTTCTGATTCAACCAATTAGAGACTGTATAGCGAGCTTTCTCTCTGTAGCAAACAAAATGCTGTCAGATCAGTTGTGACAAGACGATGCACATTTCTAAAATTCAAACTTTATGAAGATACATTATTTTCATAGTATGTTTAATTTATGTATTTAATAACTGGTCTGCTACTGCTAGACGTTCCTCAGTGCCTGAAGATAGAGGTAGATCAGGTTCCTCTGCAGTTTGTTATTAATATTGAAAATGGGGAGATGTAGCTGGCCAGCGTAGTGCACATTTAGGAAACTAGTTATTGGCAGGGATGTTTTATACTCATTTCCCACTGATTCTACATCTGCAAACCTAAAATTTCTGAAGAACTCTCTCTCCTCCTACAAGTTCTTGGTAGACACAGGAGTATCAGTCTTAGTTTTTTCCACATTGACACACTCTGTTACAACAATTCTAAGACCACCAGTTTATGTCAGAAGCCAGGCAGTTGGATTTGGAAAAACTTGAATCAGCCAGGAAGGAGTTTGCTGCTATGGAAGCTACCTGACAGATACCCACTTCCCAAAATTGGTGATTTTACCTCTCGCCTTAATAGTTGCATGGTTTTACTCCCCTTGGTCTTTTTGAGTGGCTCAGGATGCTGTTAGGTTTGAGGAACACCCATTGCATTTCATAGAGGATGATGGATCAGATCATTGACAATATTCCTCACAGTTATGTTTACATGGATAATATCCTCATAGACGGCCCTGTTGTAGAGTGTCACCTAAACCAATAACATGTCAGCCAAGTTTTAAAACGCCTCTGCCTCAATGGTCTCTCGGCATCAACCCTAAGAAGTGTGTCTTTGAAGCTCCAGAGGTTAAATATCCTGATATGAGATTTTCCAGCAGATGTTCCGCTTCCCTGGTTCTATGGAAATGCCTCAACACGGAATCAGACTCAAAAAAACGGAAACCTCCCCAAAATGAATTTTTTTAAGGCGTTTCCTGTTTTTTCAAAAATTATAGGAAATCCCTCAAATCCAATTTTTAGAGGAATTTCCCATTTTTTTTGATCCGTTTCCTTGATTTATGGTCAAATTCCACTTTATCAAGGTCTTATATGTTTTAAATTCTCAGTTTGTTGATCAGTTTCCTCATTTTTTGGGTCCGTTTCTGGTTTTCAAAAAAAATTTACATTCTCAGTTTGTTGATCGGTTTCCTCTTTTTTTTCGGTCCTTTTCCTCATTTTTTGAGTCAGTTTACAATTTTCAAAAAAAGTTTTAAATTCTCAGTTTGTTGATCGGTTTCTTCTTTTTTTTAATGCCGTTTCCTCAGTTTTTGGGTCCGTTTTTGGTTTTCAAAAAAAGTTTTAAAATCTCAGTTTTTGATCAATTTCCTCTTTTACTGGGTCCGTTTCCTCATTTTTTTGGTCAGTTTCCAGTTTTCAAAAAAAGTTTTCAAATCTCAGTTTGCTGATCAGTTTCCTCTTATTTGGGTCCATTTCCTCATTTTTTTGGTCAGTTTAGGGTTTTCAAAAAAGTTTTAAATTCTCAGTTTGTTGATTGGTTTCCTCTTTTTTTGGGGCGGTTTCCTCATTTATTGGGTACTTTTCTGGTTTTCAAAAAAAATTTTAAATTCTCAGTTTGTGGATAGGTTTCCTCTTTTTTTTGAGTCTGTTTCCTCATTTTTTGGGTAAGTTTCTGGTTTTCAAAAATTTTAAAATCTGTTCGTTGATCGGTTTCCCCTTTTTTTAAGTCTGTTTCTGGTTTTCAAAAAAATAATTTAAAATTTAAAAATTGTAGGTTTCCTCTTTATTTATGCAAAAGTTCCAAACTGTATTTAAACTTGGAATTATTTTGGTAAAATATTTTTGAAATATCAAAGGTTTACACCACTCAGTGCAAAGATTTAGGGATTAGAATATTTGGGTTTGGTGCAAAATCTAGAGAACATTCTGAGACTGAGCCTGGCAAATTTCTAACTGATAATCATATTTGATAACTGTTGGTCAATCTGTGTAATCTTTGTTTGTTGGGATAAATATTGTTTATCACAATTTTCCAGCAATCCCTAAAAGCTGGAGATAGCACACATGAATCAAATCTTTCATAAATTAGTTCCCAAAGGAGCTCAGGAGTCAGGATGCTTAGTTGTGATTTTTGGGGAGGGGGAGTACCAAGGTAGAGAAGATAGAGACAGAGAGCTTTTTGTGTACTTGAGATAGTATCAGGGGAGACTGGAATTTATTACATTTATATTGTATAAACTTGAAATCTTCATAATAAATATTTGATTTGATTTGATTTAATTTCATTTGATGTATCAATCTATAATATTTTGTCAGATAAATAAATGGGTTAATAAGACAATTTTTGCCTACCCTGTTTTTAAAGGTAAACGAAACTGTATTTTTAGTAAGGTTAGGGGGGTAATTAGAACATTAAGCTTTAGAGTGGTGGGGGGGGGGGGGAATTGTTTTTTTAAGTTTACTGGGGGGGAACAAAAAAATTCGTGCTTTCAACCCCCTCCCCCCCCCCACTGTCTAAAATATGAAACCACCTATGTTAGTTATCAACGTAAATATATTAATGTGTAATATTGGATTCAATCTAAAACTTAATTCCGTAAATCTAAATTTTAGTTTTTTTAAGCTTTACATTTTATTCAAAAAGAATTATATTATTCAAATATGCATACATGATTTGGTTGGCATTTCTTTCCTTAGTTTTTATTTGTTTTTTTGACAAAATATATTTTTTATGGTTTTAACTATTGCTCATATTTTATATTTTCTTCATTGATTTTTTTGGATTTTACGCGCTTTCATTAGAAAGAAACTTTCATTAGGAAAGCAGAAATGTGGAAACTGAGAATTTAAAAGTTATTAAAAAACTAACCTTCAATATGATTAAACGGGTCAAAAAAAAAGAGGAAACCATCAACAAATTGAGAATTTACAACTTTTTCTGAAAACCAGCAACAGACCCAAAAATGGGGAAACGGATCGCAAAAATGGGGAAACCGATCAACAAACTGAGATCTTGAAACTTTTTTTGAAAACCGGAAACTTACCCCAAAAATGAGAAAACAGACCCAAAACAAGAGGAAAACTATCAACAAACTGAGAATTTAAAACATTTTTTTGGAAACCAGAATCGGACCCAAAAAATGAGGAAACGAAACAAAAAAAAGAGGAAACCAATCAACAATCTGAGACTTTCAAACTTTTTTTGAAAACCGGAAACGGACCCAAAAAAGAGGAAACTGAACAAAAAACTGGGATTTTAAAACTTTATTTGAAAACCAAAAACGGACCCAAAATATGAGGAAACGGACCCAAAAAAAAAGAGGAAACCGATCAACAAACTGAGATTTTAAAACTTTTATTGAAAACTGGAAATGGACCCAAAAAATGAGGAAACGGACCCAAAAAAAGGGGGAACCAATGAACAAACTGAGAATTTTGTACTTTTTCTAAAAATCAGAAACAGATCCAAAATATGAGGAAACGGACCCAAAAAAAGGGGAAAACAAATCAACGAACTGAGAATTTAAAACTTTTTCTGAAAATCGGAAACGGACCCAAAAAAAGAGGAAACTGATCAACAAACTGAGAATTTACAAATTTTTCTGAAAATATGAATTGGACCCAAAAAAAGAGGAAGCTGACCCAAAAAAAGGGGAAACCGATCAACAAACTGAGAAAAAAGAGGAAACGGACCCAAGTAAACAGGAAACAAATCAAATGTAAATATAGCGGAAACAGACCCAAAATATTTGGAAATCCCCCTACACTTTTTAGTTTTTGAGGGATTTCTGATAATTCTTGAAAAAAGAAGGAAACAGAACCAAACTCACTTTTAGGTCCGTTTCAGTGATGAGGCTTTTCTGTGTTGAGGTGTTTCCATACCACTGCTTCCCTGAAGAAACATTCTGATGTCACATCTGCCTTTCTCGTCCCTATAGACAAGAACTGCCTCCAGCAATAGCTGGGAATTCTCAACTTCTAATGAAGGTTAATCAAGGGAGCTGCATGACTTCTTGCTCCAATGACAGAAGCTTTGAAAGTGAGGGTTTCATCTCTATCCTGGAACCTTGAAATGAAAAAGACTTTCTCTTCTGATTTCTCTCATGTTCCAATCCTAGTTTATGCAGACCTGTCTGCCAGTATTTGTCTCTCTGTAGATGCCTCAGGTTCACATATTGGAGTAGTTCTTCAACAGGATGTTGCTGGAATTTGGGCTCCACTAACTTTCTATTCTTAAGAAGCTGTCTTAGGCCAAGTCACTGGCAGATCAGTCCACATTATTGATATCCCCTCCACCTCCAGTTCCTGGAATATTGTATTCTGAGATGTCATCACTTCAGCAGTCCTGCCCAAATGTTCAAGCCCTCTTTCTGTTCTCCGCCCTGAAGGTTGTCTCCTTTCCAGTCTCTGGCTCTGACAAACTTCTCTGTGATGTTTTCGCCTGGTATCTTATGACTCCTTGTCCTACTACTTATAGATGAGAAGTTTTTGATTCTTTCCACCAAGCTTCTCATCCTGATAAATGAGCTTCCCAGGTACTGATAACCCAGAGTTATTTTTGGTAATTCCTGTCCAAAGATGTTGACATTGGGCTCAGTTATATCTTAGTTGCTAATGAAGTAAGGTTCAAAGTCACATTAAAAGTTTACCATATACTAGTTCCAGGACTGAGATTTTCTCAAGTTCATGTTGACCTGGTTGGACCTCTTTTTGGGTACCCTCATTAATAAACTCTGACAGATGTTCATAGTTTACTGGTTCTATTTGATCATCATTGTGCAAGATTCTGGGAACAATTCACTTTCAGTTTCCTACTACTTTCTTCCATCCTCATTCCAATAGAATTGTGGAAAGGTTTCGCAGACAGCTCATGGTTTCTCTTTGAGCTCCTCTTTCAGGATCTGAGTTTTCCCACAGAAGATTCTTCAATTTTCTGCTTTTTAGTTTTTAGTTCTCTGTTGGTTCTACAATGGTGAGTCCTGAGCTCACTGCTCCAGAGTATTTTCACAGAATCCAACAAATTATCAAGAATCCGCCACATCACAGTTCAGCTCTGCTAAGTCCATTTCAAGCACAAGTTCTGCCAAGTTTGCTTCAAGCTTCCCAAGTGTTTGTGAGAGAGGATTCATCCAAACCTCCACTTTTTCCTTTACAGAGGTCCTTATATAGTAATCTCTTATTCTCCAAAGTATTGTTCTCTCCAGGTTTATTTCAAAACAGACTCTGTCTACATGGACCAACTGAACCCTGTTCTCTCAATGTTCCTGACAGCAAAGGAGCCCCCTTGTTAAGGTAGACCTCCATTGCCTACGGCTCCAAAACCTCTGTCTCTGATACCTCCAACTCCAAGTCTTCTGACACCTTGTTTAAAAGCTACAGTTTCAAAGAAGAAATTCTGCTTTTTCCCTCTTGGTTCTCTACAGTATCTTAAGATGCTCGGGGAACCTTTGAGGAGGACCTAGATTGTCATCTTTGAATTATGGAGCTAACCAAATCAATTAAATATTCTGTTAAACTTTTGTCCTTGTAATAGTTTAGATTCAATATATGTTTGTTTATTTTTCTTGTCTCTTTGCATTGCTGCATTAGATTAATTTTCAGTGAGAGTCAAAACAATTTTAAGATTTATATTGACTTTAATTTTATAAAATCAGTGTCCGATGAAAATATTCTGGTTTTGGTTTTGACAATATTTTAAGATCTTTAAGATCTAAGATTTAGATCTTAACAATCTTCCAATTAAGTGGCCATTTAAATGTTTTTCTTGTTTATAAATTAGTAACAAGAAAAAACATCTGTTTTCAGATCTTGGGGCAAACCTTGGGAGTTTCAGTGTGGCAGCTGCTGCTTTGAAATACAGGTTAATTTTGGTGTTGCCTTCTTTCTAATTGTCTGCTAATTTGTAAGTGACACCCTTTATTTAGATGCAAGTTATTTACATTATTGGCCCCACAACTTAAGTGAAAATTGCATGTAAAATCAGTATACATTTTTGCTTATGTAGTGGGTACTAAATTTAGCTAAATTAAATTTATGTTAAAATTTTTTGGTTGTATTTTCTTCATGCAACATAAATGAAAATTGAGTAGAAAAATGTAAAAAATTTCCAAAATCTTTAGATATTCCCAGGAGACTCCAAAGCTGTAATGTTAATCATTCCTGATCACTTACAGAAAAAATATCAAAACATCTAATTTTTTAAAACTTTGCTTTTTTTACTTGTTTAAAAACATTTTTGGGTCTTTTTCTATATATCTTCTGCCAAGATCAAAATTAGACATAATGTATTAAAAGAAATTGTTTAAATTAAAAATTTAAAACATTTGATTTTTGTTTGACTCTGAAAGAAAATGTAGACAAAAACGACACAACTAAAGGCACAGATCCCCTAGTCACTACTTTTGTGTCTAATATTATTCCAATTTTTCCCTGAAAGATGTTCTTGACAATAAAAGTCGTAGTGTAGGCTAATTTTAACGTGGAAAGTCTGATGATGCCTGGTGCCACTGCCATATGAAGTTGTTTATTAAAAGGGTTTCCATTGAAAAAATTTAATTTCATGCAAAATTGTGCTATTCCACTTTTGAATTATTCAGTTTTGTGTAATTTTGCAAAAATGATTCTCATTAAGCAATTAATTAAAGGTGTAAACTGTAAAGATTATTTATCTTTGAGATTTCACTATTTGAAATATGATTGCAATGCTTTAAGAGGATTATCTACCCAAAACTCTACTTTGCAACCTGATGCATGATGGCACACTAATAATCAGGATGCACATGCTCTCACATAAAAGATTGAGCAGAATTTAGCCATCTACTCCTTTTTAAACTTTTGCTAGAAACAGATGCAGAGCCTTTTGAAAATTTATATGTCTAGTCCCAGAAAAAAAGAAGTAAGCAAGAAGGCGAGGTAAAAGCAAAGGCCAAGGCATTGTGACACTTCAAAGTTGAAGCTATAAAGAAGTTAGATTACTCAGGGGTGTCTATATCTTAGTGTAAATACACACCTGTGGTATTTCAATCATATGCATCCAACTAGAAGTAGTCAACATTTGAAATATTAAAGGTTGCAATGACTCAAAGAGTCAGATATTTAAAATAAACTATGCATCGAATTTCAATTTTCGATTTTCTAATTTCTTTTTTTAAATTTTGTCCCTCAATTTTAAGTTTTTATGACTAAAGTGGACCAATTCAGAGTAGCAAAATCATAATTTTGTTTGAATGTAAATTTTTGAGTAAATTTTTAGTTGTTTCATTCTGTGCTAAAAATTGTCAATTTTGGTCAATTTTCTTCAATAATTATTGTTTTGCCGAAAAATGTTTGCATAAAGATTTTTTGCTTGCTCAAATTATACCAAAAAAATAACAAAAACACACAAAACTCATTGCACTTAATCCCCAAAGTATGCGCATAAGTTAGCAAAAAATATTTGTTCAATAATCAAACAAATTTTGAGCAAAAAATATGTTCATTTCATGGAAACCATATTTATGAACAAAATAAAAATTCCTAAATTCTCTTTCTTTGGATTCCGTTCTGTTTGAAGGAAACAAGACATAATTTATGCAGTTGAACTAAATTAACTGATACTTATTTAAACTAATAATGATGAATAAAGTTACGTAGCAGGATGAAGTCTAATCTGGTCCATGGTAATTATCAGATGTCAATGTCCACCTTTTAGCGTATCATATAAGCTTATCTATAGTTTAATAATGATATTTTCTTATTTTTAAGGTTGAAAAGGTTTGAATTGAAATTACGTTTTAAAATATAGTCAAAATACTAATATGTATTTACAAAATGTTTTAACATTATATTTTGCCTGGCAATAATAAACTTATTTTTGGACAACTCAGAGCTAGGAGGGTATTGTTGCATTTTTAGTCTTGATGTTAAAGTCGTCTTAGCTACTAAAAATACACAGGTCACTATTAAAGTAAAAATTCATCCTTGATCATACAAGGTTGACATTATGCCCTTTTAAGTTAAATACAATTTTAGAGTGGTTTCTGTGGACCCTTTTATTACTAACCATGCATACTCCAGGTAGAACATATTTTTATACAGGGTTACCAACAAAGAAAATAAAGATACCTTAAAACTCTTCAAATTTAATGAATAAAAGTAAAAGTTAAGTTCTCTGCCTTAAAATTCCTTTTTAAATGGCTTATTTAATGAATATGGAAAGAATTTTGAAACTTAAAAAAATTGCTTACGTGTTGGCAAAAGTTAGATGCCGTGCCAAATAATATCATGATAATTATATATTTGGATTGGGCCATAAGTTGCCCTAACATATTTTTTGAAGGGGACTAACAAATGTTGAAGTAATAAATGTATTAATATGTTAAATTGTTCAGACTAAGCACTTTACTGTTTGGATCTGAGGAGTATGTAAGATATATTCTCAACACTGTCAGGTAGAAACAGAGCTCCAAAAGTTAGAGATGTTATTCCCTTTAGAACATGCTGATCTTGTGAAGGAAAAACTATGTAAAATCCTTTTGGTTATCTTAAGAGATTTAAGAAAAAAAAACAAGGGAAACTTGATATGGGTTTTCTAATTTCTTCTGGATCAATCTGGATGTGTAAAGGCCTTGTGGAAAAGTTTCCTACAACTACTAAGAATGATAGATTTAAAACCAATGTATATGAAGGTTAGAATGGTACTTAACCGCATTTAGAATAAATCTACCATTTAGATGCTATGCAAAGCTAAATGTGACATGTTGAAAAAGTTTTTGGGATAATTATTCTGGCTGGATTTCTTCTAAATGGAATAACCATCCTGTAACCTATTTTCTATGTGTCAATTTTAGCTCTGTTGTGCATGTAGTGTTTTGAAACTACAGGGTAGGCTTACATGAAAATCAGTCAAGAATGGATCCTGCCTTAATTAATAAAAGTTTGTAATGGCTTATCATTATCAACAGCTTCAGGAGAAGTTCATTAAAGACCTTCACAAAATCCTACTTTAGGATACATTGTTAAAAAAGAAGCAATTAACAATCTGTTCCCTGCCAATAAGAAATAAGCTATTCAATGTGGATTGCATACTCAATTTCCCACTTGAATAATCCTAAGAATTACTTCATACACAGTGTAAACAGTTAATATATTGGGAAATATTCTGTAAACACTTTTAACTCTCTCTTACACAGTATTTTTGCTGGTCACAGGAAATAGCTCTAAAAAAAGTTTGGTGTTGTCTTATGGTTACAGCTCCACAAAGAATATATGGGATAGCATTGCTTAACCAAGGTCAATGAACCCTTCAAATTTGGACCATTCAGAATTGAAACCATAATTTTCATAGCTTTATAACTTGCTGTGTAATTTACTTCGAGAGTTCCTGTGACTGGTTTCTCCTTAAAAAAAGGATATTCATCAAAACATTTTTAACTGGTCTAATGTGTTAAAGATGTATTTAAAGAAATTTACCATACATGATATGCCCTTTACTGTTCACCAAATAGACCGCCAGGCTAAAAGTTGTGTCACAAGATCAAAATTTATTTTTATTTATTCCTAATCGTTATGAAAGTCATTTTAAATGATTTTTAAAATCTAAAATTCCGTGTGACATGCAAAAAAAAACATTTTTAAATTTCGCGGATTTTCTCTGAAAAGTTGGTCAAATTATGGTTACATAAAATATCAAAATATGTTAAAATTGTATATTTACATATTAAATAGTGGCTGTTTAGGTTACAATTTATCGCGTTAATTGATTCTTCTTCCTCCAAACTGTTTTACAACTGACAGCAGTTTATTTCCATTTTCTGTATGCCATTCTGACCTGTTATATCTTGGCCAAGTTGGTTTGAATTTAGCATGAATTGATTCTCCAACCTGTTCAGCATATCTACCCAAACCACATTTATGAGATAACACAAAAGGCTCAACGTGGCACAGGAGAATATGAACTTTCCATGTTAATGATAATTTTTTTCCTTTGTTTTCGAGAAAGAAACTAGTTTTTTAGATTGACAAACATTTTTTTAATTCCTGGCTCCAGTGTGTTTCCAAAACATGCACTTTTAATTTCTCAACTTTCAATAAACTGAATAAGAAGAGGAACTGTCTTTCTAACTTCTTCATCAAGGCTTAAGAATTGTATTACTGTTATTACCATCCCATCCACGTCCCTGATATCCTCTCTGTAGGATTTTTTTTGACTTAAGCCAATCATCAAAACCCGGCCATAGATCCATAAGACTTACTCCCAGCAAGGATACAAAACCTATCAGTAAATGGAGCTCAGGGGGTGGAACTAAGTCTTGAAGAAGGGATTTCGGATCTTCATCTTTTTACAAAATTCTTGGATTTATCACATTCATACAGTCTTTCATCTTTGTCTTATCATGAAAAGTCTTTGAATACTCGTTATACCAGTAATCTAAACTTTCCGGAGACCTCAGTTCTCCAGGTTCAGAAGTTGCCAATCCTTCACACCAAAGGCAGGCTCATTTCCCAGCATGTGAAGATAACCCAAAGATAGCATTGGCACATTTTAAATCAAATGCTAAACTAAAGACAACATCTTGGAGATTCAGATTATCTAAGATTGTTCTTAGATTAAAATTTGATTCTGGAACATCTTCTGTTATTGCAAGTATCTGACATCTTTGAACTCCACTGTTCAGAAACTTTACAGATTCACTATTTGGTTCAAAAACATTTACAATTACTTTAAGAAAAGATCCTCCTGCATCAATAGAAATTCTAACCAAGGTATGAAATGGATCCAGGTGGCTTTCTGAGATAAGATGCATAATGAAAGAAGATGTGTCTTGAAAGGATCGAATCTGCAGAACTCCTAAACTGGACCTATAAGTAGGATAGTTACATTAAGTATAGTTTAAAGAACCTGGAATAGTATTCCACAAGATTTCAGATTAGAAAGAAAACCTTGCTATAATAGATTCAGTGTTACCTTTTAATATATTTTTTTTTACTTTTTAATGAACAAGGTTTTTAAAGGAATAAAAACAAATTTTTTCTACAGTGATAACCAGAAATCTGTGGAATAGAAAGTGTAAATGATGTTGTTATAAAGCAAATAGTTTTACTAGTAAAATATAAGTCCCCTATATAGTGATATTGGTCTGTTTAATTAGCACAATTGCTGTGTCTTATGTTCATTTGAATATTAAATCATAACTTGTGTCAAAAAGTCTTCTAACTATTTAAGAAGTTTCTGGTTATAACTGTGCGCTATTGTTCACTTAAATTCTTAATTTAACAAGGTTGATAATATACAAATATAACAATATAATTGAAAAATATTCTGGAAGGATCATTGAAATTTAAAGTTTTTTAATTTAAAAATGTGAACAAAGGAGTTAAATCTTTGCTACCAATTCAAATTTTTTAATCCCTATATTTTGTAACCTGATGTAAATCATATTGTTTTAAACCTTTGATATATTTTAAAATTATTTGATAAACCATTGGGTTGTAAAGAAATAGAGATGGGAAAAAAACACATTTACCCTCTAAATCTCGTAAGCATGGGTTTAGATAAAAGGATTTTAATAATTATATACCTTCTGAACTTGGTAAAATCCTGAAATTGTGTCTTCTATCTGTTGTAGTTTTCCAAATATATTTGATTCTATTGCAGTGGCCGTACCCATTCCTTTTCATAGAACAGCCATCATCTGTTTTGTTCTATTGAGAGAAAGCTCCAAGACTATCTGTAACTGCTTGATGATTTGTACAGAGATCTGATTCACAGTTCTTCTAGCTGTCTTATTATCTGGAGTTCCGACTTTAACATGAAGAGGATTTCCCCAGTGGAAATATAGAACTCTGATCTATCTGCTAATCCTTCAGTTTCCATCTTATTACGGAGAATTCCAGCTCCAACTTTCTCCACTTGAAGAGATCCAAGAGCTAGAGCTAGAAACAGAAGATTACATCCTGCCACTTCTTTTCCACACTTATGCTGTATTACAGCTCCTTTCCTAGTGAAACATGAAGGACAGAGAGGATTGAGAGATTCAGAAGGAATTTCATCTGTTGATTTTCTCTTAAGAACAGGCATTCTCCTTGTCTTTTGAGTCCAATCGACCTTTAAGCATGAATTTTTGATATTTATGTTTAGTTTCATCGATCATTATGAAAGTATTTGAGAAGAAAATTGATAAATATAATAAATATAATACAATATCACATGAAATCCAAAACATATCTTAGAAACCTTCTCACCCCAGGCAATCCTTGAACTCTTTCCAGACTTCAACAAAAATAGATTTCTGTGACAATTAGAGCATATGGTCGTAGGATAATCTTCAATATCTGTAGAAAACGCTGGCAATATGTAGAGTTTCATCAAGTCCTCCACTGTAGAGTTCACATTTCTTAGAGATTTACTGTTTACACTAAACTTCTCCCAACAGCAACAACATACATGACACAAATCCAACTTATTTTCCGACATAACTATTCCTTTTTTGAATTTGGAACAAGGAGAATGAACTGACTTGTTCACATCAAAAGTGTACACTAATAAGTTTTTTGCAGATTTCCCCCCCAATATTGGCGGATTTTATACTTTTTTCACCATTTTTTCTTCTTATTTTCAAGATTGAAACTAAAAACTTTAAAGTCATTATTCTATTTGTCACATGGACTTTTTGATTTGAAAAAGATATGTACAAGATTCCCTTAACCATTTTTAATACAACAAAATTAATTCTAATCTTGTGACACGACTTTTAACCTGGGGGTCTATTTGGTGAACAAAATTCCCAATACATTAAATTCTAGATTATATAATTTATTTAGTAATGGAACAGAACCTTTATACCCCTGGTATCGGGATCCATTGAACCAAGGTAAACAATTCTTCCCTTTTCTATCAACTTTCTTATGTCCCTGGTATCTGGAATCCAACAACTCATGGTGAATCAAATTGTTTTAATTTTTTGTTTAAATGATTTGAGAACACACTTAATGAATCCTGCTGACCAGAGCTAAAAGTCTAAAAGCCCGAATCAAAATTTCAAACTGGTTTTGAACCGGTTTTGGGCAGGGGCTAGTTCCTAATTTGATTCGCTGGTGTCAACTTGAAACTGGCGGCTCGGTTCGGGGATCAAATTTGATTCAGCTGTGATCCCAGTATTTTCTGGGATCAAGTCCGATTTAAAATTGACACTAGCAAAAAATGAATGAAAATAAGCTATAAATATGCAGGTTTGGATATGAAAATGATTAATACATTTATATTTGTTGCCAATTTTACCCATCAAGAAAACCTACTCCCCTTTCCTCTTCTCCTCCTGAAGAGGTGGACTCCTTTTATCCACCGAAAATGGAGAATCCTCCTCATTTGTTAGATAAGATAAAGATAAGATAAAGTTTATTGCTAAATCAAATGTATCTGTATACAGATAGAGTTTACAATTACAAATTGATGATTATATTAA